AAAATAATCCCAAAAAGCTGTTCTGTTGCTGGGTCTTCTAATGATAGTGTCATTTATGAGATTCTTATTATTCTTTCCTAATTTCATTGGAATATCATCTACTGTTTTCTGCTTATCAATCTGATGTCTTCACGAACGCCACGTGGACGCCAGACCACTATCCTATTGGTGATAATATGATAGTTAAAATAATATTTACTTTGAGCAATGATAGTATAAAGAAATATCGACTATGGAAGACAATTTCATTTCTTATTCTTACTTTCTCTCACACTCTTCTTCAAAATGTGAAGCATCACACAAAATACAACACATGAAAATTAAAGTTTACATACGTTGTTAATTATGCTTTGTCTAGTTTCAGTGGATCGATAACGTTACAGCGAAGTGCGATATGGAGCACTATATAACTAATTCGCTTATTTGTCCTCTTACTCAACAATTATTTTCGGTTCCAGTCCTTGCTGACGATGGTTACACATATGAGCAGTCTGCTATTGTTGCATGGATTCAAGAAAAACATCCAAGCCCCAAGACAGGACAAGCCTTATCGCTCAGTAGTTTGCGCCCCAATCATAGTATTAAAAATTTAATAGAAGAATTTGAAAACTCATTACGTACTGTGGATTATCGATTTAAGTTAGATGTGGACGTACGAAAAGAACGTAATGCAATATTCCATGTAAATACTAAGTCTATATATCGTGCTCAATGGATAACACGTCCAAACGCCCCACCAACAATATTATTGAAAATGAATGGTGTACGAGCACAAAGAGAAGCATCATTTTGTGTACAATTGAGCCGTCACCCACATATTATACGAACATATGGAATAGTTGAGCCCACACCTCAAGACTCAATTATGCTACTTCAAGAATATGCTCCAGAAGGAAGTCTCCACGACCTGCTTGATGATCAATCGAGAGTCCCGGACGAATTAATTTTGATTGAGATGTTTTCACAAATAGCAGACGCAATGGCTTATCTTGCCTATAACCGCGTGATACATGGGGATCTAGCGTGTAGAAATATACTAGTATTTCGTTTCAATAAGTACAAACCTGAGGATAATCTTGTCAAATTAACTGATTTTGGTCTTACTCGACATAGTTCTATATATATGTCAGTCAACAATGGATCAACAGTTAATGATTGCATTCCAATACGCTACGCATCACCAGAATTAATTCAACATCAAAAGTGTTCGGAAAAATCAGATATGTTTTCGATGGGTGTAACTATGTGGGAAGCCCTTTCAAAAGCAACAATACCATGGTCAAACATTGAAACAGATAAAGAAATTTGTCAGCGTGTCACCTCAGGTGAAATATTATCAAAGCCTATTATGTGTAGCGATGAAACATGGCTTGTGATCTTAACAACTATGATTTTCAATGAACAAGAGCGTCCGACATTTTCTCAATTGAAACGCTCATTAACAAGACTACAATATCAACTTGAAAATCTAACTCGAAGTCATATCGAATTAATGGCTAAATTTCAACGTGTGCTTCAAGTTGATATGAACCAAGTTGTGGTAGGCATAGCTGTGGAACAAACTCTCGTAAATTTAAGTGGATTAAATATTGATCAAACAGGAGCAACGTTTCGACGCATACCGGACACTAATATTACAGTATTTCGATTGAGAATTCCTGATGATAATAATTTAAAGACTTTTACCAAATATTATGGTAAGCACTTCAAAAATTTGATAACACGATACGAAAGAGAACCAACAACAGAATGGGTAAAAATATTGATCAACACAAATATACTGTACAACCACATGATATCAATTATGTGCTAGTAA